ATCACAGCTAAATATAGTCTAAAATTCTAGGAAAAATGATATCCACATGCAGAAGAGTGAAAGTGACACTTATTTTGTACCACATAGAAAACCACTCAAATGGACTAAAGACTTAACACAAGACCTAAATCTGTAAAACTATGAAAAGAAAATTCAAAGAGTTTCTTGACCTTAATCTGGGCAGATATATCAATATCACCCCCCAAAGAACAAGCACTTCCATGTGGTCCAACTGACAAATAAAATGTCCCGTATTTATGCACAACGAGGCTCTTGTGAATATGCACCGCTGTGCTCTGTTGTTACCATCACTAATGTCACTCTCTTATGGACAGATAGAGGTGGCATCTGCTCACTGTGTGCAGCACTGAGCTGTGACACTCCCTACAGCGTGGAGGGCTGAGCACAGGGACTACCAGGTGAGCGCCCTCAACCCCACCAGCCCCTCTGCGCTCCCCCTGGCACACCCTGTGCTGTGGGAAGATGCTCTGTGCCCGGCAGAGTCTGCCCTGTTGCTCTGTCCTGGGAGATTGGAAGGAGCTTCCTTGGCTGTGCTGAAATAGGCTGCACGTCACACTGACCTTGTCCACTGGGCGTCCTCCACCCCGGAACTCATTCCTCCCAGGTGCAGCTCTGTGCTCTTGGACCCTCCTCTCTCCTGGCTCATCCAGCTCTGTAGTATTGATTTGGGTGTGAATTTGTCACATTCCACATAATGACATATGGGCTATTTCTCTTTCAATTTCCCACATATTTTTCTTAAAATCATGCCATCCAAGCTCGTGTGTGTGTAAAAACAGTCTGATTTCTAAGGCCATATAAGATCATGCTGTGAGTGTGTGCATGTGTTTGCAGTAGTGTGTGCATCACTTCATGTATGTATGTGCATGTATGTATATAAATATGTGCTCCAGGATGCTTATGTGTGCACGTATGTGTGTGGGTGTGTGCATCACCTCTTCATATACAAATGCCCACTGGTGGACACACAGGCTGGCTCCCTGCCTTGGCTCTTGTGGACAGTGCAGCAATGGACGTGGGCTGCAGGCGTCTCTCTGACAAGCCCATTTCTTGCTGTGGCCATTGACCCCCACAGTGGGCCTGCTGGATCCTGGGTGGGTCCTTCTCTCAGGGTTGGGGCTGTGCTCTTCCACAGGGCGGCTCTGCTGACGGACACCCCACAGACACTGGGCACGGGCTCCTTCCTCTGTGTCTTGCTGACACTCGTCTTTTCTCTTTTTGACACTGGCTGTCCTAGCAGGGGTGTGGGGACATCCATTGTTCTTTTTTCTTTTTTACCTTTGTTTTATTTCTTTTTAATTTTATGTGGCGCCAGGAACAGAACCCAGTGCAAGTGGGTAGCAAGTGCTCTACCACTGAGCCTCAACCCCGCCCTGGACTGTGGTTTTGATTTGCATTTCCCTGATGAGCAGTGACCTGGGTGTTTTAAACACACCTGCTGTCCACAGGAATCTGCTTCCGGGAAATACCTATTCTGGGCTTTCTCCATTTTAGCAGGTGGTTTGTTGCTGTGAAATCTTTGTGTTCCTTGTGCACTTTGGACGTCCAGCCCTGATCCAAGTGTGTCTATATTTGTGAACACCTGACCCTGTCCCTTCTCTCCTTGTCACCGGCTTGGTCCCCTCTTTGGTTTTGCTGCAATCCCATCTGTCTTGTTCAGTTCTTGTCACCTGTGCTTTGGGGATACCCAGGAAATGATACCCCTGCCACGGCCAGGGTCAGGGTGCTGTCCCCGTGTTCCCTCCAGCGTGTGACAGCTCCAGGTCTCACACTGGGGCCTTCCATCTGTTGTGGTGGCCTCTGTGCAGGGGAGGATGGTGGGCAACAGCAGTTCCAATGCAGCGATGGGGACGGTGTGGAGACTTCCCTGGAGAACGTCAGGAAACCTGGAAGGAGGGTGGGCTGGGAGTACACGGCATCTAGAAGAGTTTGGTTGCAAACAGGGACACACAAATGGCTCTGGGGACAGAGGGCTTTAATTGGATCCTGCTCCACACCCTCCAGAGCTGCCCAGTGAATCCCCTCCATGTGCCCATTGGTCTATGATGGCCACGGGGGGACAATTCCCACATTGTCTCTGCAGAGCTGGGGCGGGGTCCACCCCTGCTTCTCCCAGGGTGTAGCCTGGACCCCCGGCTGCTGTCCCCCAGTCTCTTCCTCTGCGGATGCCTGGCCTCGTGCCCTAGAACATGTGCCTCCTCTCCCACAGAGAGACCCCATGATTGGATTCAGGCACCTGCTGGATAATCCTGGAGGATCAACTCTGCTCAAGGTCATTACCCGATCTCATCTGCAAACCCCCTTTTAACAGCAAACATCTACAGCTCTGGTGGCTAAGGCCTGGGACTCTTTGGATGGGTCCCTTCAGCCCACAGCCATGTCCTCTGACCTCTGCTCCTGGGGTGGCCCCTGTCATGTTCCTGAACTTTGCTCGGCTTTTCTAGCTCCGACACACTAGTGGGCTCCCTGTGTGCAACACCCACGCTGGGGAACAGGGACCTGCTCTGCTGAGAAGGACATTCAAGGGGGAAGAAAAAGTCACACATGAGAGGAAACCCTGGGACTAGGGCGTGTCCTGTGTCCATAGCATGTCAAGGTGGACCCTCTGGGATGGGCTGTAGCTCAGTGGTGGAGTCATTGCCCAGTACGTGTGGGCACTGGGTTCAGTCCTCAAGGAAGGACCCTCACAACCAGGCCATCAGCAAATGACAAAGGAGTAAAGATGGTCCTCACTTGATTGGTCATCTCGCCCATAAGGAATAAACACATGACTGGGGACACTTCTCCAAGGTATACAAATGGTGGCTAAGCACGCAGACACACGCCAGCATCAGGAATCATCTGAGAAGTGCAACCCCAAACCTCCACGTCCCCTTCACACTGCACCTGTTAAATACGTGGCCCTCACCCACCATGAGGGTCCTGTTTTAAAATGGGCAAAGCCAGGGAGGAGGAGGACGTGGGGCTGGAGGCCTGTGCTCTGTGCTGAGAAGGAGAAAGGGGCAGCCGCTGTGGAGGGCAGCGCCGTGGTTCCTCAAAAGACCAGGAACAGCTGATCCGGTCACCAGGGGTTCCACTGTGACCACCCCCAGAAAACCGACACAGACCTGGGAGGCAGTGTCCACCCCAGGGTCACTGTGGCAGCATTCACTGTAGCTAAGGGGAAGTGGCCACCTGTCCCTCAGCAGCTGCTGGACCCACCCAGCCTGCCCTGACCTGCAGGGGAGGAGGACCCAGCAGGAGCCTCAGCAGGGTGCCCCCTGAGCACAGGAGGCCAGGCACAGGGACAGCACCATCTCCACTGAGGGGCCTGGAGCAGGAGAGTTCACAGGGGAGTGGGGTCTCCATGGCGGGGCCCCAGGAAGAGGCCTCCACTGGGCCCAGAGAATCCAGGGCCAGTCAGTGAGGAGACGCTGCTCAGCAGCCTTGGCCTGTGGGGCTGGAGACTGCAGCCAGGGGTGGGGCGCGGCCTGCTCCAGGGGACTACAGCGACCAGAGGGGAGGACCGTGGACTGCAGGGGACCAAGTCCTGCTGTGCGTCCCCAGGAACAGGGCCTGAACCCCACCTTCTCCTGCTCCAACAGAGCCCCAGTGAGAGGACAGTGAATCAGTAGAAGAGCCCAGTGGGTGGGGGAGGGGACAGGTGGAGGACAGAGGGGGGGACAGCACTGGGACTGAGTGGAGCCAGTCACCTTCCCTGCCCAGATGACGGTGTCCCAGTGACCCTGCTCTCGGGCACAACTGTAACGCACCAAGGAAACCTTCACAAAGGAACAAGGATGGTTAACATGACATAAGATTAGGGACACCCGTCCCCAAATGCTGGAGAGGACCTGCAGCCACCAGAGCTCCCCAAGACTGCCAGCAGGACAATGAGCGGTACTGCCCCGTGGGGAGGAGTTGGCAGATGTCACCTAAATGGGAACCTACACTCTTGCCAGGGATCACGCCAACCTCTCCCGAATCTTTACCAAGTGACATGGGGACTCTCCTCCACACAATAAGTGGCTTGTCCTTGTGTTTCTATATTTAGAGCAGCTTTCTGTCACTGTCACCAGGCCTGACAGCAACCCCACTGTCACCTGGTGAGTGTGTGAGAGCTGTCCACAGAAGCCACGTGGGTGGTCGTCATGAAAGGAGCTCCTGGGGACACAGGCAACCCGCGATGACCCTGGAATATGAGGAGCCAGGAGAGTGGAGCAGACCTGAGCCCCTGCTGGGGGAGGGGAACCCGCGAGCTGAGCGCTGCATCTTGTCCTGGGAGCCACTGGGGCTGTCTGGAAACCTGATGTCCCTCGAGGGCCACTTCACAGTGAGAGGCACACTAATGTGGAAGTGCCAATGTGTGTGACGGGGACGTCCCCAAATGGCCCCAGTGCTCGCCCAGCAGGCAGCACTCTTGGGAGAGAAGCCCCTCAGCTCTGGTTGAGGACACTGGCCCCTCTCTGTGCCTCCTGAGGACACCGCGTGGCCCCTGTTCTAGAGGGTCACTGGCCTGGTGTCTGCCCTGGACACTGGGACAGCTCTGTGCCCTATTGAACCCCACCCTCCTGCTACCAAGGCAGGTGGCCGACTCCCCAGCACCTGCGGCTCTGGGGCAGGCAGCTGAGGCCTGAGCTCCTGCGTGGGGTGCCCAGGTGGGGACCAGGGGGCAGCCTCTTGTGGCCTCACCAGCAGTGCAGGGAGCGCCTGGGGTTTGCACAGAGTGTCTGGCTGGCTGTGTCCCTCGGCCTTTCTTGTGCTCAGACGTGGCCCTACAGAGTCCCTCCTGCAGGACTGACCACTCCAGGGAATGAGAGGAGTGTGGCCCCAGGTCTGGACAGGAGTTGGCCAGCTCCTGGGGTGACCAGTACACACAGAAAAGGCCCTCAGGGTGGGAGGACTCAGACCCCTGTCAGTGTCACAGACTTCCAGTGTCCCCAGGGTCCTGGTCCCGACTGAGTGTTCCAGGGAAGCACCCAAGACCGGGCAGGGCCTGGTCTCCTCTCTCCTCTGCCCCTCTCTGGCAGGCCTCTGGGTCTCTGGCTGTGGGGTGTCCCTGCTCAGCACAGAGCAGATGGACTGCAGTGGTGAGCGGGTCTGAGGTTCCTCTTCTGAGAACCGCCCAGGCTCGGCCCCTCCCCAGCTTCCGTGGGTCCTGCAGCTTCCCCTCCGCAGGCTCTCTCTGCTCTGCTCAGTCCCAGGAGCCCAGGACCCTCTGCCTCCTGATGCTGCGGCTGCTGCTGCTGCTGTCCCTGCTGTGGGCAGTGGAGGGGGCCTGTACAGTGGGGCTGAGGAGCTTGAACTGTGATGACCCTCGGCTTCCCCAGGGGCCCTCCCCTCAGGATCCAGAACACAGCGTGGATGTGCCCGAGTCCGTGACGGTGCAGGAGGGTCTGTGTGTCCTGGTGCCCTGCAACTTCTCCTACCGCGGCTCAGAGACTGGCAATGTGTCTGTCTACTGGTTCCATGCAGGGGACAATGCACACCACGGCTGTCCTGTGGCCACAAACAACTCTACTCAGACAGTGCAGGAGGATACCCAGGGCAGGTTCCACATCCTCGGGGACCCAGGAACCAACAACTGCTCCCTGAGCATCAGAGACGCCAAGCACAGTGACAGTGGCTGCTACTTATTTCGGGTTGAGAAAGGAAGGTTTAAGTGGAATTATTATAAAAAAAGGGTCTTTGTGCATGTGACAGGTAAGACTCCAGCTCCAGGGAGCCTCAGGAAGGTCACAGGACAGGGCTGGGTGGGACCCTGCCCTGGGGAGTCAGGCATTAGGGGCTCAGGGAGCAGCTGGGTCAGAGCCTGAGCTTCTCTCAGGGCCCCACCTCCCCCCTCCCTCCTGACCCTGCCTGTCCCCCTCTGCTCACCAGCCCTGACCCACACCCATGACGTCCTCGTCCCTGGGACCCTGGAGTCTGGCCGTCCCAGCAACCTGACCTGCTCTGTGCCCTGGGCCTGTGATCAGGGGACGCCCCCCACCTTCTCCTGGGAAGGGCCCTCTGTGTCCTCCCTGGGCCCCAACATCACCCACTCCTCGGTGCTCACCCTCACCCCGCGGCCCCAGGACCATGGCACCAACCTCACCTGCCAGGTGACCCTGCCTGAGGCCCGTGTGACCAGTACAAGGACCGTCCACCTGAACGTCTCATGTGAGAGCTGGCCTGGGACACCTGGGGCTCTGATGGGGCTGGTCCCTGAGGGAGAGGGAGAGGGGTCAGACCCTGGACACTGGGTGCTGGGTCC